CCAAAGCAACTTGTCATGTTTTAGTTATGTATTTAGGATCTTTGCTTCCTTAGGCCCAGACAAAGTCACTCCCCACAATAATGCACATGTCACTTACATACATGTATGACACTTCTGCAAATATGTGAGGTATGCATTCTTAGACATACACACACATATATATAAAAATCAGATAATATTCATATCTTGTAATACTCCCCCACATTATCTTACTGTTCTGTCATATGTATCAACACTTTAATACTCTTATGCATGCATGCTTATATGTGTGACTGTGCATTTATATTTGTGTATATGAGTTCATGTGCATGTATGTTTGTGTTCATGTGTTTATGAGTTTATGAGTTTGCATATACATATTTATGTGTGTGTATGTATAAAGTGTACCAACTTCTGCACTGTCTGCTTGTTTTTTTTTTTTTTCCCTCTCCCCCCTCACTCTGCTCTTCAGAAATATATTTATGACCCTCTGCAAGAATGGTGTCTATTTTCTAACCAACCTGTGTGTTATCTGCACTCATGTCACTTTAACCCCTTTATCACAACTCAACTTTGTTCTATGTGTCCTCTTGCTCAGAAATGCTTCAGACTTGAGAAAGGGAGGTTCTCCCGAAAGCTTGTCATTAAAAAATTGTTAGTCCAATAAAAAAGGTATTACGAGATACAAATTTTATGTGTTTTTACATATACATCACTGGACTAATACGGCTACAGTCTCTCTCTATATTTATTTATAAAATATTTTTCCAGGAATGATACATTGAGTTTTCTCTCATTTTCAAGTATGTCCTGGGTATCTATCTATCTATTTATCTATCTCTATATTGTTCAAGTAGAGAATGTAGCCTTATTAGTCCAGTCATGTAGAAAACAGATAAAATTCGTATCTTGTAATTTTTTATTGGACTAACAGAATTTTTCACATGTACCTCATAATATATATCTAAGTACGCTCCCCATAGAGATGCTTGAGACTTGAGAAAGGGAGGTTCTCCCGAAAGTTTGTCATTAAAAAACTGTTAGTCCAATAAAAAAGTTCTGTTATATATATATATATATATATATATATATATTCCTGATGAAAGTTCTAATGTTGAACTGGAATGTCGACCTTTGTGGAATAAAAGCATAAAAATTTATATATACATTTTCAGGTACTGAGCACTAAGCATTTTCTATTAATTAGAGTGCAATATGGTTGCGCTTCTCTCTTCCTCTCGCCCCACCACTTGCCCGCTTGATCCTGTCCCATCTCACCTTATCAGATCTCTCTCCACTTGTCACATGCCTTCCTTAACGCACATCTTCAACTGCTCTCTTTCACTTCTGGCGTTGTCCCTGCTGATCTTAAACATGCCACTCTAGTACCTATCCTGAAAAAAAAATCTCTTGACCCATCCTCTATTGTCCTATATCCCTGCTCCCTTTTTCCTCAAAGCTTCTGGAAAGACTTGTCTTTACCAGTGTGTCTCATTTCCTCAATTCCAACTCTCTCCTTGACCCTCTTCAATCTGGTGTCTGCCCTCTCCGCTCTGAGACTGCGCTTATCAAACTTACTAACTCCAAAGGCCACTACTCCATACTAATTCTTCTTGACCTCTCTGCTGCCTTTGACACCGTTGATCATGCTCTCCTTCTTCAAACTCTTCAATCACTCTGTCTCTGTGACTCTGTCCTCTCGTGGTTTTCCTCTTATCTCTCCCAATGCTCATTCATTGTCTCCTTTTCTAATGACACCTCCTCCTCTCATCCTGTCTCGGTTGGAGTCCCCCTAGGCTCTGTCCTTGGTCTCCTTCTATTTTCTCTTTATACTGCCTCTCTGGGCAAACTTATTA